TTCTATGAAAATTTCTCGGGCGTTCAGGCCGGTAAATGTTGTTAATACTGTTTATTATAAACAGAGCATTTACTTAAACATTTGTGTCTATATAAATAACGTATAATATATTAAAATAATTGTCGGATTTTGTCTTTCGCAGTGCGTGACGTCATTTGTTTACGTTAAGACACGCTTCGAGCAGATATGAACGTTCGAGGGAAATCATGGAAAATTGTAGTTTAAAAGCAGTAAAATCGACTTTGCTAACCAGACGCTCCTCTGTAGCTAAACTGGTATAGCACGACAGGCTATATGACGGTTCCGTGTAGGATACAGTTTCGATTCCTGTCGAAGGACACATATTTTCTATGAAATTTTCTCGAACGTTCAGACCGGCAAATGTTGTTAATACTGTATATTATGATCAGAGCATTTACTTATATATTTGTGTCTATATAAATGACGTATAATAATAAAAAATACTAAAATAATTGTCGGACTTTGTCCATTTTTTATCTACCTATGTGTCTCAGCTTGTTCATATCTATCTATCAATTTATCTATCACAGACTGTACATATCTATATATCTGTCTCACTCTGTTCCCATCTATCTATCTGTCTATCTATGTCTGTTCATATCTATCTATCTATCTATCTATCTATCTATCTATCTATCTATCTATGTCTGTTCATATCTATCTATCTATCTATCTATCTATCCATCCATCCATCCATCCATCTATCTATGTCTGTTCATATCTATCTATCTATCTATCTATCTATCTATCTATCTATCTATCTATCTATCTATCTATTCTGTATCTATCTATCTATCTATCTATCTATCTATCTATCTATCTATCTATCTATGTCTGTTCGTATCTATCTATCTATCTATGTTCATATCTATCTATCTATCTATCTATCTATCTATCTATCTATGTCTGTTCATATCTATCTATCTATCTATCTATCTATCTATCTATCTATCTATCTATCTATCTATGTCTGTTCATATCTATCTATCTATCAATGTCTGTTCGTATCTATGTATCTATCTATCTATCTATGTTTGCTACGTATCGATTTCCTTTCTAACTTTCTAAATCTAGCGCTGACTCGACAGAATCGATTCCAGTGATCCCTACGAGACCATGTAAAACTCTTCTCACCAAAATGTTCTGCAATAATAATTGTGTTAATGAATTCAGTTTTGCCTCATGCAGAGACAGAAGGAATAAAATGTTTTCATTGACCAAAACCAATTCATTTGTATAGCATTAAAAAGTCCTAAACGTGCATGAATTACCTGGTCATATATATATATATATATATATATATATATATATATATATATATATATATATATATATATATCTGATTTGATGTTTAGTTTGTATTAACGTCATATGTGGATGTACAGATGTTTAGTTAATATTATTAACATTTTACATTAATTGGTTAGTAATATTAATATCATATAGGGATACTCTTTACTTAACGGTTGCATATTAATTTACCAAAGTAGTTTTATATTTGTTGTTTATAGGTAACAGTAAATTCTTGTTCGACTCATTCAAATTACTAAATAAAGGACTAAACTTTTGCCTTAGTCCCCCAATGTTTGATAAGGACAGCTTGGCGAAGGACCTGAAATCCTTATTTAGAAGAATACCGCTATAAGCTCACTACGGAGACAATAACCACACACCTTCCATACTCGAAACATTAAAAGAGAAAGACACTACATTCACCCCACAAAACACGGACATCACTATACAGACATTTGAAATGGCAGTAACAAACGACATAAGGAAAACAATAGCACGTAAGCTGCCACGTAACAATATTACTGAAGGGGAACGTATAGCCCTTGACACGTTGACACATAGAGATGACCTAATCATAACACAGGCTGACAAAGGTGGTGCCACAGTGATCTGGGGTATTAAAGAATACCTGAAAGAGGCCGACAATCAGCTAGCCGAGGGAAACACCCACAAAACCTCACACACAGACCCTCTCCCAGAATATATAAAAAAAAAAATTAACAAGCTCGCTAAATATGATGCTTCAAAACAAACTAATTGACAAGGAAACATGCACAAAACTTGCACCAACAAACATCACACCTGCCCGCTTTTGTCTCTTTCTCAAAATACACAAAAAACAACAACCAAGGAAGGCCGGCCATTTCATCATTTAATTGCCACACGACCAAAATATCCAGATTACTTAGACCATTACATACAGCCCTTAGCTAAGGAATTAAAATCCTACATCAGAGACACAACAGGTCTCAACAGAATTAATCATATACAAACAATGCTAGAAAATGCTACTCTAGTAACCATGCTCGTAGGATCTCTTTATTCAAACATCAAAGACATCAAAGGACGGATCATTCTTAAAGAAGCACTTACTAAAAGAAGAAAATAAGACCCCCCCTACAGAAGTAGTCATAAAACTTATGGAACATATTCTTACATTGAACACTTTCAATTTCAATGGAAAACTCTACCTACAAGTAAGAGGATGTTCCATGGGCACTGTTACAGCGCCATCATATGCCACAGTCTTCACGGGGAAATCCGAGGAGACCCATATTTATCCCTTCATCTATCTACACTTTAAGCCTCCCCACCCAAAACACCCTAAGGAAAACTTTCCTTATTCACAAGCACTTAAACTCAGAAGAATGTGTTCCAACAATGAAGAACTAAACAAACACACTCAAAATCTGGAGCATCATTTCACAACACGTGGCTATAAACAACACCTAATCAGGGAACAAATAAATAAAGCAATTTCCACTCCTAGAAAAGATACCCTAATGTATAAAATTAAAAATAAATCCAGATGAATCCCTCTAGTAACCACTTTCAGCATCATTCTTCCTTCACGATCTCAGATACTCAAAAGTCGCTGGGAAATACTACATCTCAAACCAGACCTAAAACTTTTGTTTGTAGAACCTGGCCTTCTAGCATATCGTAGACCTAAGAACCTTACGGTAATTATAGGTAGTATCCAAATTTCAGATGACAAGGTAATCCGTAATAGACCAAATATAAAAACAACAGAATTTTTCCAACCATGTAACAACAAAAGGAGCCTATGTTGTAACAATATTAGACACACCAATTCATTCACTAGCTCAGTCACTAAATCTACTTTCCACAACTCTAACTGTAGAAGTCCTAACATAATTTACCTACTAGAATGCACACTATGCCAGAAACAATTTGTGGGAAAATCTGAATGTCCCTTTCACTAGAGAATTAATAATTACCGGAATCTGCTCAAATCGAAAGATTATTACCTGTAGAACATTTCCACCTAGAAAAACATGATTTTTAAAGCCGTGCAAAATTCACTATAATTGAAGAAAATCGAAAAGATAACCTTAGAAAAATACTAGAGGAACATGAAGAAAAATGGATTTTGCGCCTCAAAACCCTTCATCCAGACGGGCGTAACCGCAAATTCAACAAAATTGATAGAATTAATATATAACCCCATAAATCAAGCCCTACCGACATTTCTCACCTACACAAGACATACTTGCGGAGGTGTTGAATTTTCACACTTATACACACACTCACACAAATATATACACATCACAGACACACACTCAAAGAACTAAAAGATAACATACACTTAACACACACATCCCATTCCCAGCAACCAATAAAACTGTCAAATGACTTAAAAAACAAATTCATAGAGGCCTTTTGATCAACACAAGGACTGACCAAAATTAACGGCGCAAAGAAGAATAAAAAGAAGAAGGAGAAAAGGAAGAAGAAGAAAAAGAAGAAAAGGAAGAAAAAAAGAAGAAGAAAAGGAAGAAGAAGAAAAAAGAAAAAGAAGAAAAGGAAGAAGAAGAAGAAGAAGAAAAGGAAGAGGAAATAGAAGAAGAAGAAAAAAGAAGAAAAGGAAGAAGAAGAAGGAGAAAAAAGAATAAGAAAAGGAAGAAGAAATGGAAGAAGAAGAAAAAGAATAAAAGGAAGAAGAAGAAAAAGAAGAAAAGGAAGAGGAGGAAGAAGAAGAAGACGAAGAAGAAGAAGACGAAATGGAAGAAGAAGAAGACAAAGAAGAAAAGGAAGAAGAAAAAGAAGAAAAGGAAGAAGAAAAAGAAAAAGAAGAAAAGGAAGAAGAAGAAAAGGAAGAAGAAAAAGAAAAAGAAGAAAAGGAAGAAGAAGAAGAAATGGAAAAAGAAGAGGAAAAGGAAGAAGAAATGGAAGAAGAAATGGAAGAAGAAGAAAAAGAAGAAAAGGACGAAGAAGAAAAAGAAGAAGAAGAAAAGGAAGAAGAAGAAAAAGAAGAAAAGGAAGAAGAAGAAAAGCAAGAAGAAAAAAGAAGAAAATGAAGACGAAAGAAGAAGAAAAAGAAGAAAAGAAAGAAGAAGAAAAGGAAGAAGAAGAAAATATAAATCTTTAGATAAACATATAATAAATATAAAGTAAAAGGCGACAACAATATGTGTGTGACGTAATAATAGAAATAAATGCACTGCAGGACCACTGGTAGCTGGCAAGGATAGTAACCACGCAATGAAAGGGGAATAGTAAATAAAATCACATCTCAATTCAATGACGATGCTGCTCAACCCATCAGTCAACACACTCTACAGCGTAAACTGCATTCCATAAAGATTCATTATCATCGGCCAACAGAAGCTACCATTGTTGACATCACGTTGTAGCAGCCTAGATTAACCCCCTCTCCTAGAATATACTCTGGAACTGTTTAGCTTAATTCAGAATAATTCCCAGACTATGACTGAGATTGATTGATTCGTTTTTACGGATTATCAACCCTTTGCAGGTTATTTAAAGGCAGAACATATTTTTAGATTGTAAGAATTGAGGAGGGGGATTTAATAATGCTTTAGTGAACAAATCTCACTAATCAATCTAAAGCTGAGGAGGGGGGGAACTATGACTATGATTAGCCTACTTCATAATTCGGGGTCTAAAACAACATACTCTAAGCTAGCTTACCGCCGCATCACGTTGAAACACCGGTTCCCGCATAATCACCGAAGTTAAGCAACATCAAGCCAGGTTAGTACCTAGATGGGTGACCGCTTGGGTATACCAGGCGCTGTAAACTTGGATGTGAGGGTAGTACAATGGATAATGGATAGGAACCGTGTTTCAATTCATGTTAGGTTCATTATATTCGCATACGCGCAAATACAGTTTGGAAAGATACGAATCCTCCGTCCCTCCAGCTATGGGTTAATTAGTAGGATTTGTATAAATAAATCGTTATTATTTCCAAAGTTAGAGCAAAAATTACGTGAAAAATATTTACGTTTTGGCATTAAATAGCGTAGAGAGATGTTGATATGTCGCTAAACAAAATCGACCAACCAACCAGTCTTTAAACTATAGCCGCGAGGCCAGTTTATTTTCAGCAATTATCAAGTAATGAAGGAAATTCTCTTATTCTATTAATACATCTATTGGGTAAAAGAGAACCGATTGTTTTGGCGTATACAAGCTTTTTCATAATAGCTCGTAGAATACAGAAAAGAAACCTCTGACGGCATGTACTACCTATTTGTGCTTGTTGCTGAATTCCTCCGTGATCAGTTGAGTAGGCTCCGGTAAACGAATCTGCCGCATTTCGGAGGACAAGCAATTTCAAAGAAGTTTCAGTGGAAATTTAGATTCAAAAGCAGTCCTCGGTTTAGGATAGAGCGATCCGAGCAGTTCCGGGCTGCTTTGAATTCAGAGTTTTCCTTTTCCGTGACTGGCTAAAGCATAAAATCTGTCCTGCTATTTTACCCATAGCTGGGATTTAAGAGATGGATTCATACCTTTCTGAACGGTATTAGCATGTGTTGTGTTGAAGTTCAGACCAGACACTAGGTTCATTCACAGGGTGGAGTTTCTTCCAGTCAAACGCTTGTAGTTTAAAAATAACCCTTCGGCAAGACCATTACCCACGAGTGAAAAAAAACAAATCAATTTCCTTCTCCTAGACTGGCTAAAAGGTGCAATCTGTATTTCTATTTCACCCATAGCTGGGGTGAAGAAATGGATTCATACCTTTCCGAAGGGTATTAGTTCAGACCAGACACCAGGTTCGTCGACAGACATTCATACAACGGCAAAGCTGAACTTTCGAGCCTTCAGTAAGACGGAGTGTTAAAAGGACAGTTTTTCCCTTGACACCGCTGTTAATTTAACTACCTTCACCCCTCGGCAATGTTTATTTTTTTAAAAAGTGATGATTAGAATTTTAATGAAACCTAAACATATGATGAAAGTGAATAAAATATTAGACTATTTATTAATTGTTTATTTACTAGAATAATTTTATATTTACATTCTACAAATAAAATCAAACTAATGCAATGCAATCTTTATTATTTACCAATTTATAAAGAAATAAATGTGAAAATTTTTATTCATAAATTTATAAACATTTACTAAATTATTAAAATATATGAACCAACAATAAAGAAATCCTTCTAATTTATCATTTTATAAAGTTTGAATTAATTGGCAATTATCTAATATTTGGCCAACCATTCCAATAAACAATATAGTAAATAAAGAATGTAAATAAAGAATCTAATAAATAAACAATGTTTATTATATTTGTTGAGAATTCTCAAGAACAAAGTAAATTTATAAATTCACTTTTATATGTTTAGGTTTTATTACAATTCTAATCATTGCTTTTTAAAATAATAAACATTGCCGAAGAGTGTGAGTTGTTAAAATACAATTGGTATCATTGGAAAAAAAAATTTTTTTTTTGACACTCATTAAATTAAAAAATTAAACACTATTTATTTACTTATTAGATTGTCTATTTACGAGAATAATTTTATATTTACAACATTCTAAAAACTAATACAATTAAAATTAATGCAATGCAATATTTATCATTTACCAATTTATAAAGAAATAAATATGAAAACGATTTTTATTCATCAATTAATAAACATTTACTAAATTATTAAAATATGTGAACCAACTATAAAGGAAATTCTTATTATTTACCATTTTATAAAGTTTGAATCAGTTGCCAATAAGAAGATGCTTTGACAACTATTCCAATAAATAATCAAATAAATAAATATTGTTACCTATTTTCGTTGTGAATTCTCAAGAACAAAATAAATGTATAAATTCACTTTCGTATGTCTAGGTTTTATTAAAATTCTAGTCATCGCTTTTTAAAACAATAAACATTGCCGAAGAGTGAGAGTTGTTAATGTGGCACCATTTACCGAGGCAGAAAAAGAAAAGAAAGAAAAGAAGGAAAGGAGAGGCTAAGACCCAAAGCGTGGATGATAAGCAGAACACCACGGCTAAGAGACAATGGATGAAGGATATTTGATAAGTAACAAATGGCGAAAGAGTGTCATTACAATGACAGGGAAATTCTGAGTGGATAAAGGAATCGGGTGTGTTTTGGCGACGGCTGTGTTATCTGGGATACGTAAACAAACTGCTGGCCGACTGGCCAAAGAAAAATCCAAATGAAAATGTTATTTCGATAAGTGACGAAAAACAGGTAGGCCAAAGGGCTTTGGATAGATGTGAAAAATTAAAAGCCGCACACGATGTGTCCACTGACCGATTTCTTTCGACGGAACATCTTTAGCCTGCGATAATAAAATTATGTTATCAGAAATGTGTACCGAAGGGAAATGAATGGGAACTTAGAAATGTTCTTTTCGGGGCGACGTCTGGCCGTGTTAAAAAGTCCACCCATTCTGATAATTAGCGATAAGATGACTGACGAAGCCCAGGTGTATAACAAGAGTTATGACCACCGTCGTCCATATTGTCCTGTTTGCGGCTAGAGAAAATGATAACTGCGATTAAGAGGAAGAAAAGGAAAAGAAAAGATAATTTTTTTTTAGTTAAGGAAGATATTTTTTTTTCCTGAAACAAAGCCGCGGATTCGTCCACGCCCCACTGGGACATCATTGGTCAAGTGGTGATCACGTGACGCACGAAGGAGGCTGTCGCCGCCCATCCAGAGGATAGGGATGAGAAGCTGCTACGAAGAAGTGGGGAGAGCAGTTCACGCCCCTCTGAAGTATGGTGAGAAGGTGGGAGTAAGAAAAGACTCCCAAAAATGGAAAAGAGTGAAAAATTCCTAACCAGAAATAAAAGAGGTGGATATGTATTTAGAATTATCGAGGAACCCCCGACGCCGACAAACCCACCCCGGTTTTGGTCGGCGTCCATATAAGCGAAGCTGTAGCGAGCAGAAATCAGTTCCAGTTCGAGAAGAGCAGCAGAGAGTTCGAAGCTCGCAATGGAAGTTGGTTCCGCCTCGCAGATAGCTGACGTGAAAGATTCACGCAAATTCCGAATTCCTCTTCAACCCAAGAACAATTATTTTAAAGAGCGACTTAGATCCAGACCACCAAAATAAGTTTTTTTTCGACTTTCGTCCGAAGACACACCGAAAAACCAATTTCTTAAATAGCAAACAACTTGAAATGTTAAAACTCGCCTAACGGAAAACAACGTGTCACAATCCATAGAACGGGTCGGGAGACAGACGCAGTATCGAACAACTAGACATAAAGTTTGTTATCTTTTTCTTTGATATCTTGAACTTTTGAGTTATTATTTTATTTTCTTTTATGCATATTTGTGTGGTGTCACCCCCGTTGAACCCGATTTGCATTACGGCCCCAACTACTGATTGATCTCGTCTGCCTAAGATCAATTCACAACGTGGGTAGGCAGACTGGAGATCAATGCAGTTACCTTGGTAACCAGGCGTTGGAAGCGAGTTGGGAACGACGAGGCTGATATCAAATCTAACCAGATTCCCACCCGAATCACCAAAAGGTTAGAACGTCACATTTGGGTGTCACGACCGATACCAAGCCAGTTGGTCGTCACAGGACGAGACAACACGACTGACGCGACAGGCGGACGTCACGTTTGGAGCGGCGACACCCGAACGGAGCAGCGAGGAACGAACAGCTGGCGCCGCGACGAGGACGTCACAGTTGGTGCCGTGGTAGACCAGGATAGGACGTCACAGTTAGCGCTGCGACCAGGGGACGACGTCACATTAAAATAAAATCATCATTAGAAAAAAAATCTTTTTGACACTCATTAAATTAAAAAAATTAAACACTGTTTATTTATTAGATTGTCTATTTACAAGAATAATTTTATTTTTACAACATTCTAAAAACTAATACAATTAAAATTCATGCAATGCAATATTTATCATTTACCAATTTAAAAAGAAATAAATATGAAAACTATTTTTTATTCATGAATTTATAAACATTTACTAAATTATTAAAATATGTGAACCAAATATAAAGGAAATCCTTATTATTTACCATTTTATAAAGTTTGAATCAATTGGCAATTAGCCAATGTTTTGCCATCATTCAATGAACAATATAATAAATAAATAGTGTTTTTTCTTTTTTTGTTGTGAATTTTCAACAACAAAGAAAATGTCTATATTTCTGAGATGCGGTATTATGTACATTATTTACATTATTCGGACTATTGTCCTCATCTTTGTCGCCATATTTATCACAACGTTTCTGCCGTTGTACGCTCCGGCCTTCTTCAGGTGGTTGGAATTTCGAACTGAACCCTTTATTTCGCTCACTGGGGTAGACTGTTCTAGTTCCACGTGCCATGTTTGATGGATGTCAGTTATCAGTTATCTCCTGTTAATTACCCTCTGAAAGTTCTCCACTGCCTTAACCGGGTATTGAACTCATTCTCTTTGGGTCCTGTCAAAAAACAAAAAACAAAAAAAAAACCTGCATGTTTTTACCTGCCTGGTAAAAATATGCAATGATAACAGCAAAATTGCAATATGAGCACTGGTAAAAATGGTTGCTGAAGACATGAGGTTTATAATACCCAGATGTCCTCAAGGACACATGGCGCAGTGGATAAAGGCGTGGGTTAGAACCAAAGACTGTGAGTTCACCTTCCATATCTAATGAATGTCAATTATCAGTTATTTCCTCTCTCCCAGTTCTCCACTGTCTTAACCAGGTATTGAACTCAAAACTCTTTGGTTCCTGTTACTACCCAACGCCTTTATCCACTGTGCCATCTCTAATGACATTTATGCATGAATTT